AAAAAGAATTTTGATTATTTTTAATAGTGGAGTCCTACAACCCTAATAAACCTTTCTATATCCTTCTTTTTTGTTTAATCTTCGTAGTTTTCTTTTTTTAAAAAATACTTTAAACTGTATAAATATTGTAAAATTAAATTGATTTAAACAGCCAATCATACGAATATCTGCCTATGACTCAAATACCTATGATTAAGTCCTGTCGATCAATGACTCGAATATGACGTGTAATATAGTCATTAATTATCAAGCGCATAAGTAATTTAATAAATATGAATTCAAATACATAATAAAAAATGTATTTACTTCTTCTAATCTATTAATCCATACAATTTACTAAACATATCTTTAAAAAAACCTACTTAAAATTACCATGTCAGTCACATTACAAATCGGCAATACTTTTACTAATATGAAAAATATTTGCTCAGCCTTGAACAGTTACTCTGTCAAATTCCTACAAATGAAAATAGTTCGTACTCCTTTACTGCTTCAGCTAAGAAGCGCAAAGATGGGTTTATTTATATAATAAAGTTGATTCTTTATAATCCAGCTTGTTAAACTTTTATAGAATCATTAACCAGTTGATGCAGAATCATGTGTTCTTTATAATGAAACTTTGTCACCACCTACAATTATACAAGCAGGAAGGCCACGAAAAATTCAGTTGCGTAGTCATGAAGAAACGGCACTAGAAAATCAGGTTACTTGTGAAAAATGTAATAAAAAGGTTATAATTCACATACATGCAGACTTAGAAATAGATAATAGTATGTGTATATTATTTAATATTAAATAGTTTCTATAACATGTAATTAGGCTTGCATAGTAACATTCAAATTGTACTGGTAATGCAGTTTATTTATTTTTTAATAAATTCAACATAACAAATTCTAAAACGTCGTGACACTATTATGTTTAAACTGGCTTTTTTAGCTAACTATATATTTGGGAACTTATTTGTAATTAATTTTAAAAATCGGGTTTTGGGCCCTTATTTACACATAATAGTAACCTCATCAACCATACACATGTGTTTGCTAATTCAACATATTATACTCCACTACTTTACTAAACCATACTCTACTACTATTCATATTACTCATATAAAATTAATCATTTAATCATTTAATTTTTTTAATTGATTAGCCAACTTTATTTTTTTTACTTATTTTTTTAATCGATTTGCTAACTTTATTTTTTTTGCTTATTCAAATTACAAGATAGTTTTCCAGCTACGAATTATTTTTTAATATCCTATTTAAGTAAAAATATATAACTATGAATTTATCCTATTTAATCTAAAACATATAATAAATTTCCTGTTTTTAACAAATCTACTAACTAAACGCTAAGTTATTTTTTTTATTATTTTTTATTTTTATTATTTTTTTATATTTTATATATTTATAATTTTTATTTATTTATTTATTTTTTACGTTTTTTTTTATTTATTTTATATTTTAATTTTGTACTAAGCAAGAAGTTTTCGTAGCTGGAACTAAAAAAGTTAGCTATTTATTAGTCATTATTTTCACTTACATCTGATTCAAAATCTTCAGTTTCAGTATTTTCAAACATGTCAGCTTCGGTTAAATTATATTCAAATTCATTTTCACTAACAGAACTTGAAGCAAAAAATGAATCAAGGTTGGTTTGTTGTAGTGTGCCAATTCGGAGACTTCTCACTTTCTTGATAATTTTTGAAATTGCATTAATATATTCGATCATGTTGTCATTTTGTTGTAGAAGATATTGATTAACAGTATCTAATGCATCTAATGCTTCATAATGTGTAAATTGGCGTATTTCTATACTATCATCCGGTTCTTCAGTATTAATATAATCATCCGAATGTCTTGTAAAATCTACTATCTCTTGATCATTAAGTATTTCTTCAGACATATTTTCTTCAGAATAATCAATATAGCTGTCAATATCCATTTCATTTCGAAAACAAAGAGCCTTAATATCCATATAAAGCTCATTCATTAATTCATTATCTGTATCATCATCTACATTATCATTGTAAGTATTTGTTTCTGCTGTAACAGGAAGGATCTTTGTAGACAAAAACAATTAAAAATTGTTTTTGTAGTTACATCATTCCAAGTACTTACAATAAATTGTGTAGCAGAAAGCACATTTAGATTATTTTCACTATTTCCATCTTCATATTGATCTAAAAGCCATTTAATAAACAAAGAACGATAATGATGTTTAAATGACATAATAATTCCAGCATCCATTGGCTGGATTCTGGAGGTGGTATACGGAGGTAAGATATGTACAATTGTATTTTGAAGATTTAAACCTGCAATACTATGGGTTTTTGAACCATCTAGTAAAAGAATAACTTTGCGTCCTTCCATTCTCTAGTCAAATGCTTTTAGCCACCGTTGAAATATACATACAGTCATCCATGCTTTAATGTTGGCTTCATACTTTACTCCAAGACTTCTTCTGTTTACATTTTTGAAGCATCGAGGATCTTTATATTTTCCAATTACTAATAGTTCAAGCTTATCAGTTCCACTAGCATTTGCACATATTTCAATAGTTAATCTTTCCTTATTTTTTTTTCTTCCACTTAGATGCATTGTTGCTAATGTTGTATCTGGTTCGAGTATATATAAAATTAAAATATATATATATATTACATCATTAATATTTATTAATTATAATTTAAAAAAAAATTATATCTTACCGATAAAATAATGCAGTTTCATCCATATTATATATGTCTTGTAGATGATATTGTGCTAGTAATCTGTTTAATTTTGGAATAGCTGCAGCTGCAGCATCAACGTCTGCTGAAGCATCTTCTCCATGCAATTTTATCTTTGCAATTCCATGCCGTTTTTTAAATCTTGAGAGCCAACCTGATGAAAATTTAAGTTGACCTTCTGGTATGTTAAGCAAATTTGCAAAAGCTTTTGCTTTTTCTGTTAAAATAGTATCGCTTAATATTAAATAAGCTTGATTTTGCAAAACCCATTCATGTAATGCATCATCAAGCTCAGGATATGTAACAGCTCTTGATCTTTTCATAGTAGGCATTTCTTCAAAGGTATTATCATTCTGTTTTAATATACGTCCAACTGTTGATAAATGAATATTTAAGCTAAAGGTTTCTTTAACCCATTTAGCAATATCAACGTTACTAATATCAGGATTTTTGTCTTTATAGTTTAAGACTTCTAATTTCTGTTTATTTGTTAATGTTGTCCGTTTAGTTTTAGAAAACATTTTGAATAATAAAATGCATGATTGAAGCAAGGTTATAAAAACAATTATATAAAAATTTATTAGAAATTTAATATGAGAAATTTAATTTGAAAAAAAGTTTAAATCAATATTGACTCGAAGATAGTTTATAATATATATTTATAATTTTCTATATACTAATTCAATTTTTCTATTTTCTTTAGAAGCATCTAATTCGAAGTTACTTCTGAGTTTACTTTGGAATTTCACATGTCTATTTTTAAATATTCACAACTATGAATATTTAATTACTTAACTTATTAGGTTAGTCATGAATAAAAACTCAATACAGCGCACATAATATTCTGAGTTTACTTTAGATTTTCACATGTCTATTTTTAAATATTCACAACTATGAATATTTAATTACTTGACTTATTAAGTTAGTCTTGAATAAAAACTCAATACAGTGTATATATATATATCAAGTTTTTAAGTAATATTAACTAACTAAATATAGCTAAATTTATTAAAAATACTTGATTTGGTTAAGGTACGGCTAGTTTTATAAACCAATTTGTATGTGTATATATTATATAAAAATTATATTATTAAAAGTTCTTTTTTTATTTATTTTAGTCATGTACATACAATATAAAAATTAAATTATTGTACATAGTATAGTAAAGTTATTAGCGAAGCAAAAAACAATCCAGTTAGACTAAAATGCAGAAATTATTTCTAAGCTAATATAAATATGGGAATGATCTGAAAAATCGCTTGTTAATTACTTTATAATCTTACTAAATTATTTTTGCTAGTATGTCTTATATAATAATATACAAAAAATAACAAAAAAAAATTCATGATCATAAGAGTTTGCACGATAGTATGATCTCATTTGTACAAATTATACAAAAATCATAAGATGCTATAATGTATATAACATAAGATTTGATTGGCTAAAAATCAGGTGACTTGCATATAGAGAGAGATGTTAATATAGTCAGGCTATAAAATAGCTTGCACTTAGAGAATAAAGAACTTGCACTTATATTATAAGTCCCAACACGGAACCAGACTATTTAATTGCATTTAGAGAGAAGTTGCACTTAGAGGGGTTGCACTTAGAGGGAGTTGACTGTATATCTCCAGACCCACATACTCTTGCTAGAGTTATTTCTTTCTATGATCTTGTTTTTAAAATTTCAACTTCCAAACTCAGGAAAAAATATGACCAAAATACTTTTCCTAAGCTGAGGAATTCATCATTAAACACTAAAAACTCAAGATTCCTACACAACTTGATGATTCACTTTTCTTTAATAATCAAATAACTATACTCTCTGCCTCCAGTAACCTTTTTATATAAACATGT